CTTTGGAGACTTATACAGCTTGTTGAAAAATCAAAACTACATACAAATCGTAGATAAACACGAAGATTCAAACTGAGTCATTTCCTTCTCCAAATATATTATATGTCCAATGTTCTGTTTATATGAAATCCTGTCCAGAGGATGAAGTAATGAGTTACAGGTTGAAGTTAAGTCAGTAAAACAAATTTAAAAAGATAAAACTGTTAGACTGGAGGTACTGATGATCAGAAAAGTCTAATTAAATATGATTATCCAGGTATTTAGAAAAGTACCGAAAGTTTGCGATAAAAATATATAGATGGTTTTGAAATATATGGATAAAAACTGCTATAAGTATAACTACATTTTTGTGAATATATGTAAAGAAGATGGCAATTAAACATTTAGAGTAGACGGGAAATGTTTGGGAAAAAATTTAGTGGTTTATTTGGATAAAAATAACATCACATCTCTTTTACAGTTGTGATTCTCAATATGGAGGTAGTAATAAGTTCTAAGGATGAAAGTATATTATCATACATTCTGAGAGGAGAATGTTTGAAGTCAGTTTTTCATCACTTCCTGCGATTAGTTGGAGAAACAAAGAAAAGCAAACATTAGTGAAGTTATTTCATCCCAATATGAAACTTACCAGCAGTGTGCATAAGGATACGCTTTGAAAGAAACAATTGTGGTTAAAGCTTATTTTGGTAATAACTGACTAATTTTGACATGATTTCACAGAATTTTGATGATAATTCGTGGGTAGTGACCTTGAGATGTGCCATTTTAAGTTTTACCCTCTCGTACTCATAATCGGAAAGCTATAGATTGAGAAGAATCATACTTATGTTTCGTTGTATTGTACAGTAGAATATGAAAACAAAATATTTTATCAACTTTTCTATCTAATATCACTGGTTGTTTGAACGCGTTTATTGAGATTTGCTTGAGCTTTTATGTGACTGTAGAGACTGTTGCTCTATATTAGCTACTCCAAAACTCGTAATCTGATGAGCGTCAGGTAGTACAAAACCAGAAAACCAACCACAGAGGTTTATGGAAACATGTATTCCATACAACCAATGAAAGTAAAAGAACACAAAAGTAGGGGATTTTGAAACTTGTAGGTAGTAAATCACCATTCAGTCGATAGACAAATAAATAAGGGTGTATATTCATCAAAAGTTCAACTGAATTTTCACGGGTGTATTAAATATGACTGCTACAGCCATGTCCAAATTTGTACCTCGAAGAAACTATACAATTCACTAGGTCCGTTTACTATGTTTTTGTAAAGATTGGATCACTTTGGGCCGAACGATTAGATCTTGCAGTTTTTGTCATCTTTCTAGACAACTTCATCAGAACGAAATTCGCATTGTTTATATTTATAGTTTAAAGAGATTAGGCGTGACAGGACAATATTTAACAATTGTTATCATACTTTCTCCTAGTAAATTAACCCGCATAAGATTATGGGATAAGTCAGAATATATAGTGTTGTGACTTAACTTTTATGTAACCTATGTAGAAGAGCATTGATTGATCCAATGAAAACACACGAAACTTATTGCTGTAGATGGGATCTCTATTGTCAGAATTTTACTCAAATATGTACCAATCAGATTGTTTGAAGTGTGTTGTCTTTTAAAGACTGGTTTGTGAATGAGAAATACATCGCTCTTAGTAAATTTAGACAATTATTGTACATAAAACATAATTATTGTTGTTTTATGAACACTACCCATAGACTAATATGGGTAAACACAGTCCTAAGATCAATAGTGATTTTTAACATTGAGATTTAATTGTGAATGTTTCATTACTGGGTTTGATGATTTGTTCAAGATCTTTGGTCTTGGATGCAAATCTTTATTATTAGATAATTGTAATTAACAAAAAGAACTTATTTTGACAAAGAGGAATCAAATTTCTGTTAGTTTATTGTGAGATATTTGATCATTACAGACTGTAATACCTGAAGGTAATATTTATAGAAAATTTTCATTTCTGTGATATGTGATGTAAAAACAGTTCAATCTAACGGATCTTTTACGTACAAAATTAACCACACTAGTGAAACGAGTTTTTTTTCTGTCTTGATGGTTAACGCTTGAAATAACAGTGTATGCTACTGATGGTAATGAGTAGTATGAGATCAATCAACTCAAGTAGGAAGAAAATTATAAATACACTGCTTATCTAATATGTTGGAGATATATCACATTTACAACACAGATTTCCATTCATAAATGAGAAATACCTCTTAATAATTATGAATGAGAAATGATATCTGAATCAAGCGAGTGAAAATAGCATTTTATAAATTATCTGAGGACTAAGATAATTTGAGAAGATCGAGGTGAATGACATGTCGATTTCAGAATTCTTTAAAAGAAAAATATTAACTAAGTTACGCATAGATTCATATGTTAGATAATGAAATTATTCTATCATGCTTTGTAAATCATTTAACAAAGTTACAATTTATGGAGATGAAGTTGATAATGAAGAGAGAAATAAAAAAAGGCATATGAAATAACTGAAGTAAAGATGAAAAGTAGGTTAGGCAGATAAAATTTACAAATATCAAAAGATGTGCACTTAGGGGCGAGTTTAAATCATGTAATTTATATTCAGTCATATGAAACGAATTTCAGCCGGTAACACTAGATACACCTGACTATTTTCTCTACTGAACTAGTTCACTTAACACACCCGACATATAGGACGGCCTTATTTCAACATTGACTATGAGGTTTTTATTAGTTGTACACAAACGTATTTACTAACGACAATTTGTTTCTGTGTGATTTATTGAAACTGTCAATAGTATGTATTCCAGTATCAGTCAACTGATACAATCGATCTAAAAACTTAGTAGTAGTGATTGTGCACTTATGCACCATAACGTTTGACTGACTGATGCGGGCTTATTCAAGACTAGTGTCGTCTTAGTTGGGCTCATACTGAGCGAGAAAATCAACCAGGTCAAACTACATGCTTATATTGAACAAAAATACACCAGTAACTATATGAGTACATAACTGCACACAAATACGTGGGTGTACGCGAATGTAAATCCACTAAAAAAGATATGCGTGTGTGTGATAGAGTTAATTGATTCAAGTTCACAATGGTGCATTGGTTGAAATTTCAGACCGTCGTCAGAACTAAATCACTGGATCATGAATATGTATATCAATTGAAAAAAAAGAATCAAATTGTAATGGCTTTATTAATATCGAAAATGCATGTCGAACAGAATCGAAAATAAGCAATAGGTAATTTATAAAAAAACGCAAAAGGTATTACAAAAAGACGTTGAATATAGCGTTTAAGTAAATATGATGTTAGATAGTGAGTAGAAGTGGATGTAGCTAAATCGGTACAATATGTATTCAAACTAAGACTCTTAATTGGCAGACCAGAGAAATTGATTTTGATTCTAACTAGTGCACCCATTTCGTATGTTTTCTTATGTCAGAAAATTTCAATCACAACCATTGTCGATATGCTAGTGTGATAGAATATTGAGCAGTTCAATTAATCGTTAGTCAGTTGTTTGTCGTTTAAAAAAATGTACATGACCTAAATACACACCAGTCAACTGAAAAAGCACTGATCTAATGGTTCATAGACTAATGCTTTGATCCCAGTCATGATTTTGATGTTAGAGTAATGATTTAAAATCGTTAGAATTCAATAAGATCGATGAACTATGAACAAATGCCTATCTTGTATATACGTCGAGGTTGTGTTTGTCAATAATTAGCAAGTTTGAATAACGACCTGAAAACATTTGCTTAAGAGCTGATTTAGCTCCCTCAGTGATACGCATTTTTTGTACTAAAAGATCCATAAGAACTCACTCTAAGAATTTCCCTCGTATCACGAAGCAGATTTTTGTTTATGTTTAAGGCATCTGCTGAATATAAGTGCACTTGGTTATTGAACGAGACCGTAAGAAAACTCAATGACGTCAACGACACAACTCGCTTCTACTATAAAAGATAGACTGTAGGACAGATTGAAGTGTATGTAACCAGATGATTTTATCGTAGATATCCTTCTAGAGATAATGCATTATCGCTTGATGTCCCAGTGACTGATTGACAACCGGGAGATTCACTTACTGACTTAGAAAATCCATACGAAATAGTTTTGCTCGGTGGTGTTAACAAGAGTCTTCTGATTACCTTGAGCAACAATGCAATGATGTTTGGGATGTTTCTCCTTTCCTAATTCTTTTTAGGATTATTCTGATTCACGGACTAAACTGATAATCGGGACCATCAAGTGAGCAATGCAGAAGACAGATACAAATATGGCAAATTGATTGGTGAGATATGCGATCACCATCCATTGAGGTAGGTGGCGCAATTATCACACATGCCCAACCACTATCTACCTCAGCAGGTGATGTTTATTGGTGAGAAATGGAGGAAAGCTAGGAGCCATCAAATAAAGACTTGGTATTAGTTCATGAATTCATTAACTGTATGCTTGAAACGTGATTGTGGATCCAGTCTAACTGTTAGTGAGTGCACGCGAATATCGTAACTAGTGGTTGAAGGCATTGGATGACACAGAATAGAATTGATCACGATGTTACACACATATCCCTTAAATGTTGAGTTTTAAAACACCATATACTTTCCTATTTTATGAATTCAGTCTCTTTCGAATCATATCGTCCACGTTTAACCTTTTCTACTAATACTTTTACCACTATGGGATTTGTCTTGGCGATTTCATATCATTGTGCTGAAATGGTGGGGTAACTTGAACCAATGCACAGGACCCAGGTTTTACGTTGGTTGTGACTGATTGACATAAAATTTTGTTTCAGTTCAGAAATAATAAGTATTCTATTGTATATAACGCTTAGTTATCTTTCCTGTGATTTTATTCATCTAAAATCAAGACAACAATTGCGTTGTCATAGTCTGGGTATTCATAATACTGCTAAAATAAGGGAATTGTGATAGTCCACAATATTAAGAAGATAACAATTAAATGAAATTCTTATTTTAGCTTATTAATTTGGGCTGTTAGACCAAATTGAAATTTACATCTCCATCTACTAATAAGGTTTCCTAGATGATTTACATGTTATCCAAACGACCAATCAAAAGTATGAATTCAGATTTCACAAGGAAAACAAAGTCGAATTAATCAAATCGCCAAGAGGATCAAAAAATTATCAGTTTTCATTTTAGAGGAGGATTAATACATGAACATAAATACATATTAACAAAAAGTGTAGAATGGAATGTTTTATATGTATAATAAGATATCAGTAGAACAAAAGGAAGGCGTGCTTGAAAGAAGTCTAAAGGAGAAGTATGTGTGCTACAAGTGTAGACTAAAGTGAAATGTTGAAACATAAAACGAACACATGAAATTATTTCTGCAAAACAAATGACTGACGATAACTTGATAAGAATCCACATTAACATCAATGCATCACTAATTTGATTAATTATCTATCAATTGTTTATTAGGTAAGGAAAGCATTATTACTATTGTTATATATATATACTGAATACAAAAGGGTATATAGTCATAGTTTATACTGTTGCTTTAAACACATTACAAAACAATGTCACCAAATAAAAAGTGAAATTAAGGAAAAAGCTATGAAACATTTATCATACAAACAAGTCTTGATAACTAATAATGCATTTGCGAGTAAATTTTTTGACGATTCGAGGTATTCATTTTTGTGATACAGTTCCTGTTTAATAATAACTATATATATTTTTATGTACAAGATGATTAAGAAATTTGTGGTATAAATAACATGCTAAGCATAATTCAGTTTAATTTCCGTATATATGTATTTCTTAACATAGGATATGTAAGAAAAGTAGTTTACGTAGATGTTGGGCAAGGACGTTTGGATTTAAGAATCATTGAACGTCTACTACGCGAACCAGATGATGAATAAGCATTGTCTGGATTTATATACTCATCAATAGGTTTCGCCGCGTTTATAGAGGATAATCGAACAGGTAAATCATCTGGTTGATCAGATGGATGAAAAGCTTTAGGACGCGGTATAGTAAGAATAATTGGAGGACGGTGTTCATCGTGTTCTTCATAGGGTTTGGTAGGTATGTCAGGAGAAAATGCAGCATGTCCGTTTAAATGAGCAGTATGTAGAATTTCATCAGGTAAAAACTGATTAGAGGATTCTGGTTTAATACCAAGTTCAATGGAGTCACTTTCAGTACCAGAAAACCGTCTTTTTCTATTCGGAGTGTTTTGAGGAGATACATATTCTGAATCGTTTTGGCGATGTTTATGAGGTGTTGAATTATGATTTAAATGTGATAGGGTTTTGTTAGATGCAGATCCCAAAGCTGATATATTCGCGTTACGCCCAGGAGAATTAGCTAGCATTAGGAGTTGGCTATCAGTATACAGAAAATAATCATCTCTATTCAACCTACTAGAACACATGGCTGCAGATTTAAAGCGTTCCGGAACGTGAGCATGAACGCCTAATATGTGTTTCCTTACATCTCCGAAACCATGATGTGATGTAGTTAGACATGCACAGCAAACATAAATGCGTTGAGTAATATTGGGAGTTTCCCTCATACGAGTAATATAAACAGAATGTCTAGCATAAACTTTCATGCGTTCATGCAAGCTACCAATAAAGCTATCACCATCAGGTAGAACAGATCTAACTTGATGATCAAAAACAGCAGGACTATACAAGAGTCGAACGATTCTTTCCAAAGCCCATGAAGCAGGTAAACCTAGTTTTTGGCTCCATGTAACCGACTCTTCGGGAGTAAGTATGCGACGAGGAGCTTCAAGATCCAGGCCGTTATGTCGTTCTTCGAATGAGTAAGGGTTAAGTTCTGGAGACTTAGTAGAGTTCATATTAGATGATGTTTTACCATTGGGTCTGTTATACTCTGGGGGTGGTGACTCATCTGGTTCACTTGGTTCATACTTAACAGTTGGAGCACGCAACATGGGTGGTAAAGGATGGTTCGAGGAATATGAAGACGAATGATGTAGAGCTACTTGACTAGGTGCAGAATGGTTGAAACCCATACTTGAGTAGGATGTGTTTGATCGTTGATTAACTGAATTAACGGAACTGGTAGGTACAGATAACTCTGAAATTCCTTCTATATCATTGGGTATGATAGGTTCTAAAGGACGTTTAATTGGAGATATTCCACCTTCCGATTTACGACTATAACTCTGAATTCTCGTGCTTCGAAATTTGTGTTGTTCAGCTAATGCCAAAAGAGAAGTATCTGCATAGAGCTTATATCCAGACTCTTTAGAAATGCGAGACGCCTGGCAGCATAATGTTAATAGTTCTTGAGGGATCCTGGCATGGACTCCCAGAATATGACGTCTGCAATCGGCTAGACTGGCTGGTCTAATATCGCTTTCAACTTCATCACGAACAACCTGTGAAATAGAAAAGAAATCAGCGATGATGCAAATCAATTAATACTGCTAGCACTAGAACAGATTTTCCGAAGACAAACCTTTATACTAGGAATTGTAGATAAACAAAAAAAACCATTACGACAGATAGACCAACAATTTACGCTAATATATGAAAATAGAAAAAAAGCCAAATTTTAAATAAAGGACTCACCGCAAAACGACGTCCACATATGCAAATGTACGAGTAAATTCGATTTCCTCGTGAGACAACAGTAAGATGATGCTTAGAGTAGACTTGCATCTTGACTACCAAATCATCGTATTGATCAAACATACCCTCTCGCTCCAGCAAGACGCGCAGTACATTATCAGAGAAAGGTAATTCAATACGACGGTGGATCTCCTCGTTTTGTTTAACATTTTCATCCGAATACGTATTAGGAGTATCATTAGCAACTATAATAGAGTTATCATGAGTTTTGGTTGGAGTGACGAAATAGTCCTCGGAGTTTAGATTTACGTTGGCAGTGAGAAAACGATTATCACTCTCTTCATCAGCTCCGTGAACCCCTTCCTGATGACTATCGTCGTACAAATCTGTCTCGATAGTTTGTGTTTCTAGTTCTTCTTGATCATTGAGTGATACCTGAGACTTGGTAAAATCATTTGAGAACTGATTATTTTCATCATTCACTACTTGGGAATAAGTTTCATTTGAGTCCTCCTTTGCTTCTTCGGCATCACTATCAATCGAAGTGACTTTAAGGTTTGATCTTGCATCGGTTAGTTGTATTTGTCTTCGCCTATGATCTTCAACGAATCGAATCATCCTGTCATCTGAATGCAAGCGATACGTTGTAGTATCATGTCTAGAAGCCCGAAGACAGAGTCTGAAACGCTTAGTAGAAATACCACAGTGAGACCCCATAATATGTTTACGAATATCGGCTAACGAGTGTACTGAAGTATACATGCAAGTCGGACAAGAAAAACGTTTTTGTGCTCCCCCAGGAACCAGAACATCCATTATGACATGCATTCGAGCATAGTGGTTCATACGATTGACAAGTTGAATTCGTTCTGGCATCGGGACTTGATAAGCTTCCAGTAAACGATTAAATACTGGGAATGAATACGCCAACTGGACGCGCTGACGTCCAACTTTAGGAAGAAAGATTTCTGTACCACCTGAATAGGTGGACGTTTGGGGTTGACCCGCAGCAACAACAGCAGCAACGATTGGATTACCCATTTCATCCAGAGGAACAATACCGCCTCTACCGATAGGAGCTTGAGCAGAAACTTCTTCCAATGACCGCATGTCTTCATAATGATCGGAAACACCAGTCCCTGGGATAACTCGGTGAACTGGAGCACCACCTGAATAGGAAGAACCAGACGTTACTAGGGTTGGAAGACCATCAGAAGAAACAGTAGCCAGTGGTTCTGTTGGTGACTTCCGAGAGTCTTCGTACTTACCAGGCGTCGGACGTTTACAAAGAGGATTGGAGAGTGGTGAAATTGGAAAAGGTTTACGACGGAACGCTTTACCAGAGAGACGTCCATTTCGAATTCCGAAAGAGTGTTTTGACTGCGGTGAATTGTCAGAATTAATAAGTGAGTTATTAGTTTGACTAGGTAGTGTGCTATGATGGCTCCTACCGGAATGAGTGAAATCAATGGTAAAACGTGATATGTCACGGCGAACGCCAAGATGAGTTACTAGGAGATGTTTTTTGAGGTCTGTGAATCCATGATTAAATGGTTTCAAGCATTCTGGACAACCAGCAACACGACGCTGATTCGCGCGACCAAGAATAGGGACACGATAACTGGCGAAACGACGCAGCTTTTCCAGGACACCGTTTAGCTCATCATTTGTAGTATCGTTATTAGGATTAAATTTCTCATTTTTCATATAAGCAGTAACAAATGCTTGTTCATTAAAGTATAGTTGTACATATTCTTCTGCAGCCGTCTCAGTGACACTTTCCTGTTTAGAATCTGCTACATCAGGAGGTAGGTTAGAGGTGATAGGCCTATTGTTGAGATTCATGTCTGTGCTTGGCTTTTTTAGTTCATCATTATCACCTTCGACACCGACATGCTCTTCATTATCTCCAACTTCATCAGCTTCACAACTATCAATAGATGATGGGGCATGAATACTTGATAAATGTTTCGTAACTTCAGCTGAAAGATTGGAGGCGGTTGAACAAAGTAACGGGAGATCGTTGTGTAAATTGGTTCCGTCGTTCATATGGAGCAAAGTTGAATTTCCAGAGGAGAAAAAATTTGGTAGTTGTTGAAGCGGAGAATTGCGTAGGGTTTCCATATTTTTGCTAATAAAATTATAGTTTTCAGTAATAGATTCATCAGATATAGGAACTGTAAAGTCTTCAGTGACCACTCCGTCCTCCTGCAAATAAATATCAATAAAAACAATTGAATATAATGTCGTTCGCAAGATGTAACAATGTGGAGAGTATTGACTAGGGACCGAAACTAAGAATACATTCGAAGCATATATTGCTATGTGAAGTGGATTGCCGTTTATCGCACTTGTCCCTTGGTTCGCCAACACAAGTGACGTATGCTGCTAGAATCTACGAGACTTTTCTGAAACGGTCTCAAGATTTCGTCAGACACCAAACCACTAAGGCTAATAAGATACCGAAAATAAGTGGGTCGGTTGGTGCACTTAACTACTTCACTTGTGATCATTAATTAAAGCGTTGATGTAGAGTGGTCCTGACGCACTTGAGGGAGAGGAACTCATTACAAATATGTATGTATTGTTGGCGAAAGCGTTCATAATGATCTGAACCTTAACAGCATCTTCATAAAATAAAACTTGATAATGTTTTTTATTTGAACACATAAATATTGGTACAAGAGAGCGCCAATATATATGCGCCACACTTTGATAATGTGAGTAAAAATCTAGATGCTTTATATATGCTTCATATTCTTTATATAAATCACACCATCTAACTTGATCTTCCTAGTACCTCACTCATCAATGTGAAGTACTCACACTATCAAGTACTTGTGAGTACTTCACATTGATGAGTGAGGTACTAGGAAGATCAAGTTAGATGGTGTGATTTATATAAAGAATATGAAGCATATATAAAGCATCTAGAGATTTTATAAATATATTCAGTGAGCTTGCAGGTCTTACGATGAAATAACAGAACGAAAACTTTAAAAGTGCATATCCCGTGAATTGTAATAAACATTTATAATGGCGTAATTTATCGACCAAGTAAAGCACAGGTTTCAACATAACTTTTGTGAAAACGAGTACAATTGATCAGATTGAAGAAACTGCTTAGTAGACAAAGCACTAGTTTAACTAGTGGGTTGGAAACCCACTCAGTTTGTTTTTGACTTGGACACTGAATGTTTAATAAACAATATAGGTCAAAAAGGGTGCATGCACTCATATTCGTTAAACCGGTAAAACGCGTCTAAGTGCACCTGAATTTGTCATATTTACAACATCCTATTTGGAAACCAATGCAGTAGTTGGAAATTAAAGCTCCTAGAGGACTTAGTTAATTATCCATCTTAAGCTATTGGTATTGGTTAGTAATTACAGAAGCTTTAATTTTGTTTACAAGTACTCTGAAATTTACGATATGGAGGGATTAACACCCTGATCCTATTAATCAAGAATCTCAAGCTGAAGGAGTATATCAGCTCTGACTTGCTATACTCATTTGTATTTGTAAAGTTAATTATAAACAAGAGCTCAAAGTTCATAACTGGTAAAGTGGAAATAACTGACGTTTGAGGGTTAAATTTGTGTACAAAAACTAACCTCACTAAGCAAGGGATGCATATCATGCAAGTGTTCCGTTAGCATATTACGAATATTGGTCATCCAACCGCATTCTGAACAACGATGGAGGACACAGGTGACGGACAGAGAAGTTATGAGCAAATGAGAAGAAATAGCTCGGCACATCGCCAAATGTTGAGCAAAGTTTTCTAGGTGAGATGTACCAAATGAACAATGAGCACAGAAAAATGCTGATGGAACTCGGCGGCTTAATTTCGAAATGTCGGGTGGATGGGATTGAATGCGTGTTGGTCGTACAGATGAAGGCCAAGAGCACATAAACTAAAATAGATACTAGAGGTAATAATGGCAACATACCGAATAAGTTGTAGTCACAAGAGGGCTGTTAGTTCCGTGAAACTGAAGCGCGTGTTTTTTTATTATTTCCACATTTTTTGATTTGACACGACAGTTAGGGAAACGACAGTGAAACAGAATGAGTGTATATTTCCGGAGATGTGATTTTAACTCTGTAGGTGAGTTCATTGATCTATCACAATGACCACATTTGAAAAACACATCGCTTTTATCGATATCATGGAGACTTAGAGCGTGTTGACCCAGTGCTTTCATAGTACCGAACGATCTAGGACAACATGGACATGTAAAAGGAAGGTTCTGGGTATCCATTAGACCAAAATGCATGTCAATGTGTTTTGAAATGGATACTGATGAAACCAACTCAGAGCAATAAATACAACGAAGATTTTTTGTTTCGGGATGAGTAGATCTGATATGCATTTCCAACCCATGTGATTCATTTGAGCAAATACGGTAGACAGGAGAACAGAGTGTGCAAAAATACTTATCAGGAGAGTTTTCCATAATATTCAACACTGCTTCGTCGCTGATGGATTCCATGACTCTTATAAGAGTACTGCCTTATTGACCTTGATAATCGACAGTACTGATGATGACCCCTTTGAAGTGTAGAGCACCAAGTTTGAAATTGCACAAATAACAATCAGATCAAACAAAAATACAATAAATTAAAAACGAACTATTTTTCCAATTATACTTTACAGTGAAAAATGTTATAAAACTTGTTGCAAAAGTTTAGAGTTCATTCAATTAGGACGTTTACCGCTTATATCAAGTGATATGATATCGTGATATATGTTTCTGTTAGTTGTGGATACATTGTGTCACCTTAGTTTTCTCCCGATACATATATGTCGGATCCATTATTTTAGCCTTAAATGAAGTTCGCTGAGAGACTGAATGCTCATCTCACTCCAGAATGGAGGACTCAGTACATAGATTACGATGTAAATTCAGATAAATAGATATTGATGTCTTCAGGAACTGAAGGAACACCTTTATAAATATACACAAGTTTTGGAAACTCTTCCGTGTAAGTTATTTTTTTGTATACATCACTTTCAACATAGTTTTCTCTGAGGAAGAGACCAAAGCATTTTTGGATGAATGTGACGAAGAATTTTTTAACTTATGTGAAAGTGCCTTGAGGAAGATTGAGGTGTTTTTTTCTGGTGAGACTGAAATCGTTCATTGACAGCTGAATTTAGAGAAGATTGCTGAAGCTAATCGAAAGTTCACCACTTTAGTAGATGAACTTGATAACTACATCGAGTCTACTCATCATAAATCTATCAGTTGGATTACAGGTTCTAAAGTCTCACTTTCCAGAAGACTAACAGAATCATTCGGAAGAGAAGGTGATAAGTGTAGGGTGTCTGTAAGGGAAAATGGTTCAACTAACACACCGATTTGGAATAAAATCAGCAAAATACAGTCTGAAGAAAACTCGGAGTTACGTCGCCGTCAGAGCCGTTCAAAACAGTCTGAAAATCCGAAATATGATGCACAAAGATTGGACAGAAGAAAGAAGACCTTTAGGAAGTTACATGATTTGAAGCTAGCTTTCAGTGAATTTTATCTAAGTCTTGTTTTACTGCAAAATTATCAATCCCTTAATTTCACGGGATTCAGAAAAATATTGAAAAAGCATGACAAGGTAAGAAAGGCTTGTGATTGTTTTCGTTTTTATCCTTATTTATCAAGTCACTTTTTTCAGCAATGACATTTTGACATTATGAAAACCATTTGAAGCATTTCGTCTTAAACATTCAGACTCATATTCTATATGAATTGATTTGCTCACTTACGTCGATTTAATTGTAGGGTGAATCTTTTCATATTGGTTTTTTACTCATAATTACCAAGGGAAGCGTAGGTCGTAAATGCTATGGTCAAATGAACAAGTTGTACGAAAGCTTTGACCATTACTTCAAGTGTGTGAGTGTTAGTAAACAATTATTCTCTATTTGGTGACAAGAAAATCAATTTCTGGTGATCTCATAGTTGTTATCATACATGCGCTGCTACACATGTCACTTAATATCTATAGACGCCAGCGTTTATTGTATCTGTGACGGTACCCAAAATGTCCATACTTTTGTACACGACTCAATTCATCACTAATTTTCTAATCTGGTCCCACAATTTTTCTCGGTTACTTTCAAAGTTATTTTTTCTTAGTCTTATATGACTTATCACTGTAAATCAATGTCAACTATAACTTGTAGTAAATGCACATGACTTAGCTACCTTCACCGGTCCGCAAACCTTTGAATGAATTGTCCTCATTATCTAGAAGTTTGTCCTTAATTTTATTGCTTACTCACTACTTTAATCATTGTGATATTCATCAACAAAAGCCTGTGATCTGCTCATACTCTTCATCACTTATGGTTATGTTATGACCGCATTGCAGTAAAAGCAATTCATTAAAGATTTTACCTATCTTCAGTAAAATATCCTGATGTCTTACTAGTTCTATTAGTCAATTAGTCCAATAAAAAGAGAAAGAGCTTTCTTTGATTGTTCTTAAGTCTCTTTAGCTGACATATTTCTGACCAAGTAAGTCAATATAGATGAGAAGCCCATATTTTTAGACTAGATACCTATTTAAACCAGTTTTGCAGCTTTTCTTCAATTCTAGAAGATACAAAACATGTATTTAGGTTGCTTAAATTACTTTGGAACGATTTTGAGTATTTATCTATCAAGCTGTGTCATTCAAGTGTCACAAATCTATCATAGGGGTTCCTAGGAAAAAACCGATTTTATAACGATGCGGTTTGATGTCAGTATATTCATGAAAGTTATGAAAGACATTCTTAATAGACATCATCATTAATGCTGACATTGGAGGTGAATTTTTCACATGACTTCAAAGAGAGTGCCGTTAGCAACACAGTTTATTTTACTTGCACTTTTAAATTTATACGATTCTATACAACATGCCTGGAAAAATCTAATGTCGCCTTGTGTCTGAGGAAAATAGGCACACGGGTGCAAAAGAAGTAACTTTCTTTCGAAAGGCAATAAATGATAAAACTCCACCCAATATATATTCCCGCCAGACCTGAAATCCAACTTATTTCCGCGGATTTGTTGTTCCATGTCTGTTGCTAGTTGTTTTATGTCTATTTCATTATGGTCATGAATAATTATGTAACATCACTAGTTTCTAATCACCTTTCGTCTATTGTGATATTCAAGAATATTAATGTGGTTGATTTAGTTTCCAAATTTAACTGATAGTTCCTGTTCAAATGTTTCTGGATTCATGGTAAACCGTATTAGTAGAGTTGTGCTTAATCACAGTTAACAAGGTCTATCGCTTAGTGGTTTAATCATTTGACTTTCTGAAATTAGTCACCATATAACTTTTGGTTCTGTTTTAAGTATACGTTGATATGCAATGAGATTTAGGATAAATCTTATTCTGTAGTATTTAGCTAAATTAATCTCTGTTTCATAAAATATGTTAAGCATTTTAAACTTTGGTAAACACTTTTGGATATCTCTCAGTAATCTTTTAATCTTTTTAATGGGAGAACATAACTCCAATGTCTTTTCTTTGTAGCTTCTCCGCCGGAACACAGGACTACTTTGGCGGCAACAGGTGGTTGAGTGTGCACACTTCAATACTAGTAGGGAGGTTGATGACCTTATCACAGAGGTTGAGGTGAGTAATAAAGATTCATGATATGTTTTGTTTCTTACTGGGTAGTTATCCGACAAACCTATATAATAAGATGGGAAAAGAGCGAGTTTAGTATTGAATAATACTGGTGAAAAATTGTCTGAGGATAGTAATCGCTTGTTGTCGTTTAAAAAGTATAAAATAATGATAATGACAGAGCAAAACCTAAAAATATTGGGGAAGTGGATTCGAACCATGAAGAGATAAGATTTTGCTGATCTTAGTTTTGCTATCAGATTTCAGGCTTGCATTGGTGGATTTCCAATGCCTCTATAGGGCACAAATATATGGTTAGACCTCCTTTCGACCCCGTTATTATGACCGCGTAGATTGTTTTGAACGATGACCTATTTAGGGGTGTGTGCCCAGAGTTGATGAGGTACTTCTGTATCAAGCTACTAGCTGCTTTGAATTCCTCTTATAAAACCGTGCTGGATAATGTTTTGAAATGCGTTTAAAGAGTGTTCGCTTTCTGCGGCTCACGATATTTAAAATCACGGATAACCTTATGATGCGATCTCTTTATACTCTTCTATGTCTTCTAATAGCGGTTGGTGAAATAAATATAAGCACCTTTGTAGGGCATCGCTCATAAGCTATGATCGCGATTCCGTTTCCAATCAATCCGTATGTTGGTAGTTCCTAGTTTTATCCACAGCGTATAATCTACTGAATCTGAACAAATATGTGGGCATTTTTAACGCTAATGATGGTAATTTTTAATAGCTTCTGAAATGAATACACCACATTTCAATATCTTTCTATGTCACAGTATCGTACTTTTGAAAATTCATTCTTTTTACCGCGTTAACTTAGAATATATTTACGGAGAAACTAGAACAAGGTGATAGACAAAAAGCCATGAAACGGCTACGAGTGCCTCCACTTTCCGAAAAGGTAAGAACAAAATCTTCTGGTCATCTTGTTTTTATGTATTTTTTAGCATTTGAGCAAAACTCTGTCAGTTTTGTTATCCTTCTCAAGAAGAGACCTTCACATATCCACTAAACCCAATATGTAACTTCAGTTGTAAAACGAATATTTCATTTTTTTCTCTGAAACCAATTTCTGAGAAAATCTATTAGGCGGTAGTTATGTTTTAGTTCATAATACAAGTTGCTTCTAGTAATTCTATATTAATCGATAACAACTTCTGGCTGAATACTACTAAATACAGAATTTTTATGACTTCCAAAACAAGTAGTATCTATCACTAAATGCCTCAACGCTTTTTACGGCAGCCAGGAAATTCCATTTGGTTATTTGATTTATTTTAATCGCAGGCTACGTTAATGATATATTTTCTTCACAAGATCTTTTTAAAAATTATTAATTTAGAGCTGTTGGCTGATTTTCGTTTCTTTTTCTTCAACGACAACAATAACAATAGCAAAGAAGGACTTCTCATTTCCTTCCTTTTTTTAAAACTCACAAATTTCTAAACTCTCGTATTACTTCGAAACTCATTTGAACCAGGAACTAGAACAACAATGTAAAACTTAAAGCACTACGCAAAAATTCATCAGTTTGAGTCTTCACAGTTCGAAATAACATAGTAATACTAATTCTACAAAAGTAAACAAATGTTAAGATGAACAAATGAGGCTGGAAAAATAGGATGAAATTAGAATACATTATAAATGTTTCATAAAAACGAAACGTATTTCCAGGAACATAAGCATATTACCTCAATAAGTGATGATAACATGGAAGAAATGTGAATTTTAGAAAATGTTTTGGCATTCTGATTTTGTTCAAGATTTTAATTCGGTAAATTTGATCACATGTATAGGGTATGTGATATTACTTTCAGTTGGTTTCGTCAAATTTTAAAAGAAACAATGTTTTGTCACTCTTATGATATCTGTTTGTCGCCAATTACACATATTGACAATAAATTATATTGGTGTACAGCCACGAAAGTTTGACAATATAGAGAC